TAGTGGGACCTTATACGAGTTATGGTTACAGCATATGTGCACAACCTCTATGTACTCACATATCTTTAGTTCTCACAAGTGTACATGGGCAAATAAAATATATGACATAAGAAACCTTGTGTAATGTTATATGTTTTGTTTTGTAGAATGTATGATATGATATGCATAAGTGTTATTGATAAGATCACAAGATTAAATGAATGAATGTAAATAATACTGTTAAAAATAATAATAATCTGAATGATGATAATAATATTATAAATATATATATGTATGCAATGGTCATATGAATGGTTATATGCTTTTGCATGATATTAGTGTGTGAATTGTTTGTGCATTGTTAGATAATTAAAGTTTTCCATATTCATTTTATATGCCTCACTAAGTCATAGACTTAGCGTGTTCCGGATATCAGATCAGAAAAGTCTTTTATTAATATGTATTTTGTTATATGGAATGTAGTTGGTATGTAAATAAGAGATTTGAATTATATACGTTATGATAAGTTTTGTAAACCTTTTTATTGGAATAATATGAAGTTTTATTTAATATTAGTGTGAAATTTTCATTATTATGTGCAAGTAAAGGTTTTAAAAAGTCAATGTGACATCTCAAACTCGTATCCAGGTCGGATACGGGTTGGGGGTGTTACATACATACACAATTTCTAAGGAATGGTTGCCAAATCCTTAATTGCGTAGGAAGTTACGGGGTCGACCTGAATCTATCCGAATTCATAACGATATGGATGATTCGCAAAGAGAGCCAAGTCTACCCAAACTTTATGGCCACTGTAAGGTGAAGGTTATAACAGAAAACATTGTCACATCTTCCAAAATATCGAGTTGGACGCTAAAATAGGCGTTACAAAATATTATGTATTTTAACTATAGATTTTTTTGGACTTCAAAAGTCTTCAAAAGTTTTCAAAAATAATTCAAATCTCACATATGAAGTACCGATACTGTTCTGATAGTATCAATACTATATGAACAATACTAATAATGTTCATGTCCGATACCCTAAGTAAGAGAAATATCGATATTATCTAGATAGTATCAATACTATCAGCTTGCTCAAATTCCAGATTCCAAAATAGGTATCGATACCCAAAGGGGTACCGATACAACTGTACATAGTAGTATCGATACCATGGTTACAGTATCGATACCGTCAGCCCCAAGGACTAGTAACGGTTAGTTTTATTTAAAAATAACAAAGGAAGTACCGATGCCCATAAAAGGAGTACTGATACTACCTGCATTTTTATAAACTGCACTACATATGAATGAAATTTTTGTAATTAAATTTTATTTTAATTAAAAGTTATTTTTTAATTAAAGATTTTTCATTTTTCTTTATATATTTTATTTGTTTACATATTTTTCAAAGTTCTTTTAATTAAAACTAAAATTATTGACAAATTTTAAACATTTTTAAGAGTGAAAATGAATAAACAAATTTATTACTTATCAATGATTTTTTTATACAATTAAATATTGAGTACAAAAACTTAAATAAACAAATTTATTACTTATATTTGTGCAATTCTTGCCAATGTCGAGGAGTGGTAGAATAGTAATGACGTAGTGCTCGTTGATTTTGTCGTGGTCATCTACCTTCGTCATTTTCGTCCTCCTCCGGTTCCAGTGTACTGAACATTACTCCACCACTTTGATTTACGTCTTCGGGTGAAAACGATGGAGTATTCAAGGTATTTGACGCCATCATTGAAGGCATCGCCTCAAATTGAGATTGTCCGTGATGATGAAGACGATCCCATGGTCCTCTTTCTTCCGATTTTGAGAAAAATTGTTATGAAGGTGGCACTTGATCCCACCTACTTCCTTCCCACGCCGCTCGACTCTCCATCGATGTTTGATATGCACCATATCCAACATAACTTTCTTGCGATGAATAATAATTGGTGGAAACATAAGATGAAGATGTTGATGAAGATGATGATTTTTCCATATTTTGCCTTCATTATTTCCCGCTCGGATCTCTCCTCTGGTGTTGTCAAGTATGGTTTCCCATTTGCTTCATAATTTTGGAGGTAGGGAGAAACATTGAAATCAAAATCTTGGGGTTGTACCTCGAAACGATTAGGGAATCGTAAATGGCTATTTTTCCATTAATGTATGAATGTAGCATGCTTTCTCGGCCAATATTTGCTATGCTTCCCATTCACTTCTATTTTATGCAAATTATCAATGTTAAATATGTACATTTCTATCGGTTGGTGAAACTCAAATTGTCGCAAAACTCTATCGGCGGCATGGATCTCAACAATTGCGAAATGGAACAATGGTGTTACGGTACACCATGTCTCCGCTCCTTCAAAGAACATTGATGGTATACACTGTTGGATATTGACTCATAATAAGGTATCCAATTAAACTGTCAAAAGTATTATGTTAGTATAATTAAACAATTAATATTACAATTTCAAAGTTAATGCAAAAAATATTAAAATTTACCACATGTCTACCGGCGATATCAATCCTCATCCGAATATCTACTTTGGTTGCACCCGACAACTTTGTATCGATTATTCGGTGTTGTCATCTAAAAAATTACATTATTTATTGTAATTTTCAAAATATTTAAATAAATATTATAAAATATCAAAACTTTAAATATATGAATTTACCTTGCGGCGAGAGGAAACTCTATAGGAGTAGATGTAATAGGCGTCATAAACGGGAGACGGTACCACGCCCATGATTGGAGCAAAACTAAATAACTTGCTACAATTATTTTTTTCCTCTAAAGACTACGATTGCCTTACAGAGTACACGATACAAAAAAGTCAAAATTGCAGAACCCCAATTATATTGGCGACATACAGCGGAATCCTCCATTAACGGAAGATATTGGGTGTACACCAAATTGCCCGATTTATCCGATAGCAAGATCCCTTAACTCAACGTCATAAGATATGCTCGAGCTGCATATATCACCTTTCTCCGTTGATTGTTCATCTACTCTAAATTTTCTTTCCAACTACGTCATCCCTATCCGCAACCCATCAATGACATTAGTTGGAGCCTCATTTCCCAATAAATTTGAAATAACAACATTTACCGAATAAGTGTTGCGAAGCACCAATGACATACCATTAATGGAACGCCAAGTTGATACGCGACATCTTTCAATGTTATCGTCACTTCACCACGAGAAAAATGAAACGTATGCGTTTCGGGCCTCTAACGCTCAATCAACATCGATATCAGTGCCGACATCACCTTAAATCCGCGAAGAAACGTCGCTCCATATAATCCGGATCGTGAAAGATATATCACCATCCGCTCACGTGGCTCTTCATTCGCCATTCCTCAATGACGAATGGCTCGTTCTTCTCACTACAATTTGAAAATAAATTATTTAATACAATTGTATAAATAATTATTATTAATACTATAATTTTGTCAAAACTAAAATGAAATATAACAAATTAAATTTACCATAGTCAACTCGGTCGACGAAATATGAACATTATCAAGACGTAACATTTCTTCTCTTGAGGCCATTTCAACACAAGTTTTTGCTCTCAGTAGAATGTTTGATTCCAAGTGAAAAATCAATCCAACCAAAACCTCTATTTATACTACTCTACCCAACGACTATAAACTACTAGTTTTTTCAAATTGAAAATAGCCGTCGGAACTCGTCACGCCGGCGTGACGAGTTCCATTGAATATTTTTTAAAAAATACCCGTTCAACAACGGTCAACCCAATGGTCAACAAATTCAAAATTATACTCGTTGAAACTCGTCACACTGGCGTGGTGAGTTCCATCAGTAATAAAATAATATTTTTTCAATACTTTTAAAATTTTTTAAAAATTATTTTTTATTGTGACTCGTCACGCCCGCGTGACGAGTCTTTTAATATATATTAATTCATTCGGGCTGTAGGACCAACGTGACACGACCCATTTAAAAAATATTTCATAAAACTTATCATATCGGCATGATGAGTTTCATGAGCACTGTAACATTTTTCGTAAATCCCAAAATAAATTTTCTTCTGCCCTATTGTGCAAAATAATCTACCTGCCTCAATTATTTGCTCAATTTCGCCGACCTAAGGCACTTGGCGAAAAAGGGGTTGTTAACCTTTTATTCGCTTCCTCTATTTTCTTGTTTACATAGATTTTGTTAACTTGCATGAAAGTTCCTTACAATTGGTGCTTCCGCCTAGAGAAATAAAATAGTGACCAATTTTGAATTTATTCAAGCGTTGTAAGGTACTACCCTTGATATAAATAAATTTTGAGTTCCCTTCAATCTAGTATAAAGGTGTATATGTACACCTTTCTAAAATAACTTTTTAATACCGTTATTCATATCATAATGTCATTAATTATTTAATGATAGAAGGATTATATAGAAATTTGTACAATTTACTTACAACAAGTGGTCAAAAAAATCAAAGCTTTTAAGCAGCAACCACTTAAATTGAGACATGATAACATGATTCAAAGTGTGGAGAGACAAATGGCGTGTGGATGTGGGATGGACTTCCGCTTAATCCAAAGCAAAACACGTAATCACTGAGAAAGACACCTGGTGAATGGTGAGTGGCTTAGCTGCATGGGGGGATTGGGACAACGCTTTCTATCGCAGTTGTTGCCTTTATTGCCTTAAAAACATGAGCCACTCATCTTCATAAAAAGGAAAAGTAAATTTGTAGTCCGCTTGGCCCTTGGGCAATTCAATATTAACTAAACCACACGGCTCAAGTATCTCAAATCCCGTTAATGATCGTCATCATCCAATAAATGAATCGGTCATTTTCTTTCGACAAATGGAAATAAGAAAGGCGCATGTGATTTAATGGTCTTCAGTCCGATGGTTGGACTTGTGTCTCCTAAAGTTGCCTTTTTTAGATTGCAAATTTATGAATTTTTCAAGTGCAAGTATTCGGAAGCCACTTAAAGCTGATTTCCGAACAACATAATAAATTTCAATGTCAAACAAGAATATGGACACGCTCAAAATCAAGTGCAGGACGCACTAATCCCATTTTCATTCATCTAATAACTCCATTTTAGTATGTGTTAGACAGAGGTTGAGGGAGATGGGTATTTTTACAGGTAGGGGACGATGTCAAATGATAGCTATCAGTTACTTTTGCCAAAGGACAGTAACTTCACTGAAACAGACTTCATACAATCATAAGAAGTGCAAAACAAATGTGTTCTAAAACACAGTATGGCAATGTACAAACACATCATATCTTGAGAAATTAGCGATTTCAAGAAGGTTTGTCACAGCTGCTTGTGGAGGCAGCGCTAGAATCATTCTGTTGAGGCTGCTCCTGCTGTTCCTCTAGTTGAAGTCCCTGCTGTTGTTGATCACCCTGCCAAACCCATACAATATCTTGGAGAGCAGGCCTCATATCCTCTTTTACCATCTTCTGATATTCCAAAGTGTCCCCATTAGATTTCTTAATCTCCACCAGGTGAAACATCGGAGTCACTTCAAAGATCTCCGCATCGATCGATAAGATCCCTTTTCGACCCTCCTTTAGCCTTTCCAGTTTCCACACACCTGCATCCTTCTTTTTCACCTTTAGTTTCAAACGTCTAGCGGCTTCTTCCAGCTTAGAGATGATGACCGACGCGGGTTGTCTAGATGAAAATTTTGTTTCTCTCTTTTCAGAAATTCCGTCAAACAATCCTGACAGATCAAACCCATCTGAAAGTGATATGATATCAAAAGCGTTTAGGTTTGGAAGTTGAACTGATTCTTGTTTACTCTCAGCATTGTCATTGCTATTCCCACTATCCTGATAAGCTTGCTCGTTTTCGATTTCAGGTTTTTTTAGTTCCGCAATCAGTCCTTTCTTAAACCAAACACTTCCCCTAATCTTAGACATTGAAATCCTAGAAGTCGGGTTTGGATCCAGCATCTTAGACACCAGCCTGCGTGCTTCCGGAGGGAACCAGCTAGGATATCTGAAGTCTGCTTTGCCAATTTTCCTGTACATCTCCATCAAGTTTGAATCATGAAATGGGAGATAACCTGCCAGTAAGACGTATAGCACAACTCCGCAAGACCAAATATCAGCTGCTACTCCATCATAACCTTTTCTTCTGATCACTTCAGGAGCAACATATGCAGGAGTACCACAAGTAGTATGAAGCAGGCCATCTTGGCGTTTTGATTCTGCTAGTGCACTTAAACCGAAATCGGAGACCTTTAGATTCTCATTCTCATCCAACAGCAGGTTCTCGGGCTTTATATCGCGGTGATAAACACCCCTACTATGGCAGAAATCAACTGCATTGATCAGCTGAATAAAATACTTTCTTGCAACATCAACCTTCAGTCTTCCATTAGCAACTTTGTCAAAGAGCTCTCCACCTTTGCAGTATTCCATAACAAAGAAAATCTTGGTTTTGGTGGCCATTACCTCATAAAGCTGCACAATATTAGGGTGTCTAGCTATTCTCATCACTGAAATCTCTCGCTTGATCTGATTAATCGTCCCAACCTTCGTGACCTTTTCCTTGTCTATCACTTTTATAGCCGCACTCTGGTTGGTTTGTATACTCCTCGCATAATACACCTTCGCAAAGGCACCTTGGCCAAGTAATCGCCCGATTTCATATCTTCGGGTCAATACACTTGGTTTATTTTCCATTCCAAACTAACGTAATATACAGAAATATTAACCAACACCTTGCGAGCACAATTTTTATAATTCACAGAGCAGGTAGTATCTGTGATCAAGCTCAACCGTCTCCACAAAGTTCATGTAAAACCCGAGAAGGCGTTCCCTTAGTACTTACAGTCCTTTTCTGCTTTTATGCATCGAAATTTAATGATGTTTCGCCCATAACTTCAAATCCAATATCATCAAAGATGAATAAGGTCAATTTTCAAAAACCAGTAAGCTCATCAACTTCAAAGAGGGAATTTTGAAGGATGAGGCACATATTCCGGCATTCCTGGGCTTTTTACTCTCTCCCGGGGTTTCAAATAGCGGTAAGCGACCGCAAAATAGGCCGTCCAAGATACCCGCTACACCCGCAATCGTGTCCAATAGGAGGCTGCTATGGCCGCAATCGCCGTAAACTCAAAATGTCGCCCGAGATTTGAAACCTTGCTCTCTCCTTGAAAACGAACTTGAGATTGCTGAAAGGATGTATCAAAGGATATCTGAATAACCCTCGATCAAAAATTAGCAAATACTATTTTTTTTATACTCAAAATTGATTCAAAACCAGCACAGAGAACAATTATAGACCCTCAAAATATTTAACTCGTAATACAAAAAAAACATCGACAAAAGAAAAAAGACAGATGGCGGAATGTAATTCATCTTTTCCAGTTATTGCCCAGAAATTAAATTCAGTTCAACCCATATACAAACTCAGCTAGATAATTCCATATTCATTTGGCACTAAAAAATGACAGCAGGGACAGATTTCAACCCAAAAAAGGAAGATTGAAGAAATAAGATCCCAACATCAAAGCATAAATCATAATTAGGGGAATCAAAGAAGCCAAATTCAGCAGTAAATCCCTCGTAGCAAAGAAAATACCTTCTTTTTCCTGTGTTTTAAAGTACGAACACTGATCCCAATACTTGATGTGATTACGTAGAAGCTTTTTTTTTTTGATGAAAGCTAATATGAAAACAATTATTAAAAAAATCAGAGATTCGATCAGTAAGGGTTTATATTTCTTGCAACTGAGAAAAACTTTAGTTTAACGAAGAGGAGGAGTAAAGATTCGGTGTGAGCAGGATCGTCTTAAGAATAATTCCGATGAAATCAGATCCATAAGTAATGTAAAAATTGAATAAGTAATTTCAAAACATCCAGAAATTTCGGGTACACGAGATTCGAAATGATATGTGGACACACAGGGACCCAACGGGTATTTTGCTGTTTCCTTTTGTAAATGCGCCGTCGTTTTACTGCAGACACACAAATTTTGGGTCTTTAAGCATTATAGGGATTTTTTTTCAAGTATAAGATATATTTTTTGGCCTATTTTATTTTGGGTAAATTGCTCAAATGATATTAATTATGGGATTAATATTGATATGATGATCATATTTTTAAGGGTAAACTATATGAATGATCATCTAATTATAGGATTAATATTGATATGATGATCATATTTTTAAGGGTAAACTATATAAATGATCATCTAATTATGAGATTTGTGTCAATATGACCATCATTTTCAAAATTTGATCAATATGACCACTTAACTATTTAATTGGTTTCAATATAGTTACCTACCCTTAATCTTTAACATAAGCGAAGCGTTGATGTGATAATTAAAAAATTACTATTATTATATATTTAATCATTATAACTTATATATTCTTCTATTTTGATCATAATTTTAATTTAATAAATTTATTTCTCCAATCAAATTGTGACATATGTCACCTTCTTAACTAAAGATAAATATGATGTATTTTAACACCTAAAGGAATCAAACTTAGGTTTTAAAAATAGCCATCATATGTCTCAACTATTAAGCCACTTCTCACGGTTGTTAATATGTTAATACATACATTATATAACTTGTTGAAACTTGACGTTTTGTGATCCGACATACTCTAAGGTATAATCCATATGGAGGTAAATAATAAAGAGCTTTCAAAAACTGGGAAGTGAATTGTGGATCTTTATCGGATATGATTGAGGTCAGAACTCCATACAACCTTACTATTTAACGGATATAGAGATGTGCTAACCTCTCTAAAGTATAATCTATATGGACTGGGAGAAAATGAACTGACTTGGTTAAACTGTCAACTATAACCCACACCGTATTGTGTCTCTATTTATACATTGGTAATCCAGTCACGAAGTCCATAGTCACCCAATTCCAATTCCACCGCGGTATTTGAATTGGTTCAAGCAACCCCGAAAGAACCTGATGTTCAACTTTAACTTGTTAATATACTAAGCACTTCGCAACGAAATCAGACACTTCCATTTTCATACCCGACCACCAATATAACGGTCGAAGCCCTTGATACATCTTGTTACTATCCGGATGAACTGAAAGCGGACTATAATGTGTTTCATGCAGGATTTTACTACGTAATTGTTCGTCAATGGGTACACACAAACGTCCTCTAAAGTAAAGTATGCCTCCCTTGCATAACTCGAAACCTAGGGCTTCGCCTGGGCAGACTTGCTCCATAAGAGCCCTTAAGCAATTGTCTGAACTCTGTAGCCTCTTACCTTCGCGTACTAACTCGGGTTCTACACGAAGTTCGACCAATAACCGAACATCACTAGACAATCTCAAGCGTGCTAACAATGGTCACAATTTCAACATCGACTTTCTGATCAAAGCATCGATAACAACATTCGTTTTCCCAAGGTGATAGTCGATTACACAGTAATAATCCTTTAACAACTTGACCCATCTACGGTGCCTCAAATTTAACTCCTTATACGTGAGAATGAACTTAAAGATCTTGTGATCGTTAAAGATATGAGACTTCTCACCAAACAATTAATATCTCAAAATCTTAAGCATTAAAACTATTGCTGCGAGCTCTAAATTGTGGGTAGGATAATTTCGCTCGTGCGACTTGAGTTGGTAGGATGCATAAGCTACCACTTTCCCTTCTTGTATAAGGACCTACCCAAGGCCATTAAGGGAGGCATTATATACTTTGAATTATTTTCCTAACTCTGGTTGGGTTAAAATGAGGGCTTGGGTTAAGATGGTCTTCAATTGTTCAAAGTTTTTCCATCGCTTCTCGTCCCATACAAATGGAACTCTATTATGAAGTAGTTTAGTCATTAGAGCAACTATCATCTAGAAACCCTTTACAAACCGATGATAATAATTAACAAGACCTAAAAACCTACACATCTCGATCACGTTCTTCTTCAGTTTCCACTTTAATATGGCATAGATCTTATGGGGATCAACCTGGATATCATCTGCTGCCACAACATAACCCATAAATAAAACCTCAAGAAATCAAAATTCATATTTCACAAACTTGGCGAATAATTGACGGTCTCAGAGGGTTTGAAGAATTATTCGGAGATGTTTGTCATGTTATTCCTCAGATCGCGAGTACACGAGAATGTCATCTATGAAGAACACCACAAACTGGTCTAAGTATGGGTGAAACACTCGATTCATTAACTCCATGAATGTCGTTATGGCATTGGTGAGCCCAAACGACATCATAAAGAACTCATAATGACCATACTTTATTCTAAACGTCATCTTTTCTATATCAACATCTTTGACCTTCAATTTGTAATACCCTACCTTAAATCTATCTTGGAGAACACACACACTCTCTTAAGTTGGTTGAAGAGGTAATCTATCCTAGGGAGTGGATATCGATTCTTAATAGTTAACTTATTCAGTTGACGGTAGTTCATATATAACCTCACTGACTCATCATTCTTCTTCACAAAAAGTATTGGTGCTACCTAAGGAAAAATGATTGGTCGGATGAAACCCTTCTCCAACAACTCTTGGAGTTGGAATTTTAACTCCTTGAGTTCTGTCGGTGTCATACAGTAGGGAGCAATGGACACCGGAGTAAAACCCGATAACACCGTAATGCCAAAGTTTAGCTCTCAGTCTAGCGGTAATCCCGATAATTCTTTTAGAAACACATCAGGGTGTTTTGAACGGTCTGAATATCATTGATGGTGGGATATAAATTCGGGCATCGAGCACATGAGATAAAAAGGCTTCGTAGCTCCGATCGATCATCCTTTATGCCTTTACTACCGAAACAATCCTTGAACACACAAACTTCTCGCCAATCATCACCACTTTGGTTCCATCATCTTTTCAAAGTTTGATTTGTCTAGCCTTACACCTTAAGCTATCATCGTGCTTTCGAAAGCCAATCAATGCCCAAGATCAAATTGAACTCTTTGAACGAAAATCTATTAGATCAATTGGGAAATTTTGGCCTTAAAATCCAACTAAACATCGACAGTGGATCTTGTTAACTAGAACATCTAACTCTAGAGGACTAGACACTCTAGCGCCTATCTCTAAGTCCTCGACTGGAAGATTTCTTTCTTGAACGAAGTCATATCATATGTAGGAGTAAGTGGATCCTAGTATACTAAAGTTGTAACTAGAATGAAAAAACATGGTGAAAGTACTTGAGATTACATCAATTGTATCAGACTCCTCCTAGGCTTAGACGACATACTGGCGTGAGGCTACCCGAGGCTCTGAACTGACCACAGATCTACTAGTGCCTTTATTGTACTATCCAAAAGGAAAACTCCCGCCTCTTGAGGGTCCCTGATCTCTCTAAACTGAGTGAACTAACCTATGAGTCGGAGCTGGTGTCACACTCTATGCCTTTGGGTAGTCTAGCGAGCTACAACCAAAACACCATCTAGTCCCGAAATGGCACGCTCCAAGGTGTCTCTTCCCACAGGTTTGACAGCTTGGGTACGACGTGCTCACAGAGCCGCTAGCACTCGCCACTACGCTGTCAACAAGGGCTCTTACAGACCCTGATATACCTACATAGTCTATGCTATGGGTCAGTCTCCTAGACTTTCTCGCTAGGGTCATCTACGAACCTCGAGAATCTATGGCCTTCTTGTTCAGTGCCTGAATGGGTCTCAAAGACTCTACTGTCCTCTAACTCTTCCTTGATGCAGTAAATGAAGCTCTGGAACTCATCCCTAAAACCCTCTCGATCGCCTTTGCTTGACGGATCGACTTGGCAAAGATCCTAGGTGGGTCAACAACCAATTGGGTGAGAATATTGATGAATGTCATCCCTAAACCTCCTTATAGCAGTGGTACTCAAATGCCACCAACTCCGGTGATATTCAACTCAACCAGAGAAACTCTATCTCATACTCAAAATTTATCTCTCTTCACGTGTCAGATGGAGCAACTATTTTCTCAAGTTGTCGGTGTAAGCCTCTCCAATATACTTCTATCAAAACTCAGACAAGAATTGGTCCCACATTGGTTTCTCGGGCTCCATGGCCATCTTGATGGTCTCCCACTAGCCTATGACGTCACCCTTCAGCAGGGCGATGACACATTCCAAATTACCCTCAGTTGTCAAGTACTATTGCCAGAGCTAGCAAGGGTCTCTCTAAGCCACTGATCTGTAGCAATATGGTCGTCATCACAATCAACACCTCAACCATTAAACCACTTCCAATATTTGTTAATATGTTAATACATATATTATATAACTTGTTGAAACTTGACGCTTTGTGATCCGACATACTCTAGCATTTTCAGGCACTTATGTAAATCCAAGTCACTAACCAATATTACCCATTCCTCTTCATCATCCAAATAATTGAGTTGAAATATCCCATTTTGAATTTTGAACTTGCAACTTGTTAATATTTTTTATAATATCGGAACTATTATTGTCAAATAAATAAACATGATCGAAAAAGAAAAAAAGAACGATAAGATTTACTTGGAAAACCCAAAAGGGAAATAACCCACATGTAGAGGAGAAAAAATTCACTAATATGAAGGAAGAAAATACAAGAGGATTTTGGTGAAAGAAAAACTTGATATCTAACCTTTTACCCTTACTATATATTTATAGGGATAAATACTTGATTAGAAAAGAAAACTAAATAAAGTAGAAATCTACTTTAATAAAGCTATATACTTTTAATCAAACTAGGATTCTTACTTTCCCAAATTT